TGAGATAAATCGATTCAATGGCAAGAAAAACTGCTTTAACTAAATCTGTGTTTTATTTACCCAAGTACTGAAATCTCAAAAAAATTGTTGGATTTATATCCAATGATGGGCCAATATATTAAATAAATGTGTATTGTGTGCTATCATTTAAGGTTAACCCAGTAAAGTGATCTAATTTAGGATTTGGTCTTTTAATGCATAATTAAAGTATGGACCTCCTATGTATAGAGACCAAAATATAATTGTTAATTCTATGATGGGTTGAATTGGTAATTATGAACAACTGAATTCAGTTATAAATAGCGTTGTGGTTCCTCAAATCTCTACGTACAATCTCTTTCTAATTTCCCATCTTCAGAAGGATTAGGATTTCTCTAAGGAGGATATATACGTACAAAATTTGGAAGATCTACATCTTAAAAAACTCAAGAAGCATATCATACCTCATAGATTCAAGTATGATTCCGCATCTTTTTAATTATCTCAATATTTTGACATGAACAATCTTGCGATTGATTAGGGTTTTATCTATTAAAACAAAAGCTTTTTTTTAATCTAACAATTGGTATCAGAACGGTGTTCATGTTAATCTATTGAGAATCAATTTTAATTTGTAATATGATTCTCTTGTATGTTCTCAAATCTATCAATCTTTCATTTTGAATTGTTTAATTTGAGAATAAAATTTGGTAGTTCTTCCTCTTATATATTCTTCATGGTTTCGGATTCAAAAGATTATTTTATGAATCTGATTTATAAGCATTCATGTTTAATTGATGTTTAATTTTGGATCAAAGTCTTAAATATTTCAAGTAAGAAATCTCAAAAAAAAAAAAAGATTTTTCGCTACAATTTTTTCTGTTGTTGCTACAGTGCCACCGCTGCTATAGTGTAGCCAAAAAAAATTTGTTGCACTGTTTTCTGGCACAATTACTGTAGTGTTTGCAAAGAAAATATATATTTGCATTGGCCCGCCGATAACTAGCCCATTACAAAAAATAAAAATGTTATCATGCAAGCTAGCAGTGAAGCACTCAGACCCACTGTAGCATTGGGCTTTTGTTATTTGGTTTCTTTTTAATTAATTGCATTAGACTCATCTGCAATGTTGGGCTCACTTTTGGATTTTGGATTGTTATTATTATTGTTTTATTTTTTTTATAATGGCTCAGTTGCATATATAATGTCATCCAAACTTTAAAAATATATATATATATATATATATATTTTT